ATGCCGGGTTCCATCCTAAGAGCAATTTGTTTATTGTTCCTTATGATGATGTTTGTTCTAACAAGTAATTGCTTTTCTGTTGACAGGGCAGCAACCCTAGGATAGAGCGGGAAAAGTGGAAGGGAGGCTGCCAGATTCTAGGCCTGAGCCTCCAAGGAGCTTACGGCCTGGGTGTTAGGAATCAAGATTTTCATCTTTCCTGCATCTAGGGAACCACAAACCACAGCCTCTTTAATTTGGCTGTCTCTCTCCAGCTTTTCTCTTCTTTCTTGTCCTTTACAAATTAAATTGGTAAACGTGAGTAAGGCTATAGGGTGAATTGTCCCATTGTGATTTTGGCCTAGGTATCTAATGCCTTGATATTTTTTATTCTCTTCTTTTGGGTAAGATGACCCTCCTGTGCCCTGTAAAAGAGTGGACCAGATCACTCTCTCGTGGAGCACAGGAGAAATCATTGAGCTGTTTCATCCTTTTCTTCTGGCATCCAGCACCATGTCTAACACATAACATTATGTTTTCAGTAAATGGTTAAGAGTCAAATAATTAATTAATGGGGTCTCCACTCTGAGTTCCTTCTTTTTTTTGATGGGGGAAGGTAGCTTTTAAGTGGGGATGAGTCTGCCAAGTTCCACTGGAGATGGTGTGTTGGAACAGAGGTATGGAAAATCCCCTTCTCTCAATTCAGCTGAGACAAGATAGAGGTTTTTTCAGAAACATTCTTTCCTTATAAACCAATGCAAGCAGAATAAACAGAGTATAGACATGGATTGTAGATTTGCAACATGACTCAGCCACGGTCTGCTCACAGGCTGGCCTAGCCAGCACTGCTGGGGACTCCTGGCCCCCTTTCCTCATCTCTTCACTCTCTATAGTCCTGGGAGAAAGGATTCTTGGGTTACCAGCTTGAGGCAGGTCTGGACTGGTGGGTTGCCAGGACTTGTGGGATTCTCTGTTAGCTGGTAGCCACCCTGCTTCCTGATGTGCCCTTGATAGGGACTTACTCCTGCGATTCTTTCTCGGGCTTCTGACCATTCTGCGATAATCTTGGTGGTGGTTATTAACTTAAGAATCTTAAAAATTTGTTTCTGAATAGGATTGTATTGACGTGGTTCAAAAATTTTACACATATAGCAAGGGTATACAGTAGAGTCTCCCACCCCCGTATCCCAGAAACCAGTTTTCCATTCTCTCTTCCTCGAAGATAAGTATTAGTAACAATAACTTATTGGGTATTCTTCCAGAGTTTCTTGATGTGTATATAAGAAATACATATGGAAACACAGTTGATAACAGTGGATACTTTGTACAAGGTCTGTGGACTGGAGTGGGGTCTGGTGATGTGGTGTCTGCAGGACAGCATCTTCCCCAAACTTCAGGGAATCGGGTCGGCTAAAGTGTTGTGTTGCCCTACGTAATTTCCAGCAACAACTTCAAGCTTCTCCAAGGCTTTATGTGTAGACATGGAGAAGAGAACACACAACCCAGTACTTTTTTACATATGATTTTTAAAAATGCATATGTGGATCGGGCACAGTGGCTCATGCCTGTAATCCCAGCACTTTGGGAGACCAAGGTGGGCAGATCACCTGAGGTCAGGAGTTTGAGGTCAGTCTGGCCAACATGGTGAAACCCTATCTCTACCAAAAGTAGAAAAATTAGCTGGGAGCGGTGTTGGGTGCCTGCTATCCCAGCTACTCAGGAAACTGAGGCACAAGAATCGCTTGAGCCCGGGAGGTGGAAGTTGCAGTGAGCTGAGATGGCACCACTGCACTCCAGCCTGGGCAACAGAGTGAGACTCTGTCTCAATAAAAAACAGCTGATGAATTAAAAAATAAATAAAATGTATTTGTGTTCTCTATGTTTAAAAATCAAGGAGCTGTATATTTTAATTCTAAGGGCCTATGGGGAAACCCATTCATATAGTAATACAGACTTGAACAGCAAGTTATAAGAGTGGAATTGACCAACAAATGTGTTAATGTTATGTAAACTAAAATGTGTATTCTTGTTTTTCTCTTCCCATTTTACAAGATAGCCTGTTGTATGTACACACTGTTCTGTATCTTGCATTGTTTCTTTGCTTACTATGACTTAAATCTTTCATGTCATTATCTAGAGCACTTTTTCACTCCCTTTTTTAAATAGTTGCATAGAATTCCATTGCCTGGATGAACATAATCTTTTTATTAGCACTTTATTGGTGCATATTTATGTTGATTTCTATATTTTGCTGCAATGAAAAACTCTGCACATATGTGACATGTGACCCTGTCTAACCATGTTATCATGCCCAGACAGAAGGCAGGATTTTATAAGGAATAAGGGCAGTGTAGCTTACTGATTTGCCCATGTAGAGCAATAGAATCTTGCCTTAAGTGATCAATAAGGTCTTTTCTGTTCAGATAATTCTATGAACAGTACCTAGTGGAGAAGGCTTTGCATTCTAGATTTGATAAAAGAACAAGTGTGTGGTTCTCCTACTGTACCTGGCTATGGACCATTATATTTAAAGTATATAAAGCAGATGACCACATCACGTCTGGTTCCTCCTCAGTAAAGAAATAGTTATCACTATCAGCATGGTGGAAGGCCCCTCTTCATGTTCTACTTCTTTATTCTTCCCCATTACCATCTCATCACCTCTGTTATAGCTGCTTCTAGCTTCAGAGTCCTTTCTGCTAAGTCTTTGTCTTGGAAGTTGCATTGTCTGCTCTTTAGCTTCTGCTCTGTTGGCTGATTTCTACCTAGACTTCTCTTCCTGGGACCCTCTGCAGAATTCTGGCCTTGACTGTGGCTTGCTGCAATGTAAGGCTCCTGGGCTTCCACCCGCCCTGTAGAGTGAAGCCCCTTTCTGCCCTCCCTGATAGGAGGAGAGGAGATGTCTTGGATTCCTCAACTGGGTAGCATCAGGATGCTTTTCTGCATCCCACTGTGAGATGCCTGGGGCAACCTTTACTTGTTCAATCATATCCAGCCCAAACTCATAATTCCGACACCAGCATAGATCCCTCCTCCATGCTGCTCTCCAGGAGGTTGTCCATAGTTTTTTATCTTGAAGGCCCCCTTAACCCTGACCTCTTTCTTTTTTAATCTTACCTATGGCATCTTCATGAGCACAGTGTTTTCCCACTGTGGGTTCCTTGGGACACCAGTTCCACAGCATATTATATGATCTCAGAACCATGTTAGTCCCTCAGCATCATGAGTACCCAAGATACCTCCTTGGGAAGCTCTGCCCTAAGTAGCCTATTGTTAGGACTTGTTTTTCCACTTGTGCGCAAAGCTTGGCTTCTTCACCTATGGCGTTGAGACTTCCCAAGGACCACGAGGACTTTGTTAGAAGGTGTTTCTCCCTCCTGTGGTCAGAAGCAATCTTCTTACCTCTTCCTGTTTCAAAGCCTCCATCCACTTTAGGCTGCCCCGTAGGTTGCTGTTTCCTGTCTGAGAGACACGTCTAGCCTCTGCCTCAAAGACTAGTGATGCCCAACCTGCTCTTAGTCCAGTGGCTTTTGACAAAGGCTTCCTTCTCTTGGATCAGACCTGCCCACATCTGGGAGAACCCCTGGGTTGTGTTGACCGGGTGGCCCTCCATGAGACTGCCATTAAATTGGCCCTCAAAATGCAGCATCCACGAGAGACATATTTTCTGTCATGGGAAAAGGAAGGTATTTTCTTTGTTCAACGTGTGTTTGTGGTTTTCCAGGGCTTTTTCTGGCACAGAAATTCAAATCATGTGGTTCTCTCTTTTTTTTGTCTTAATTTTATTGTGCCTGTTTTCTCTGCACAAAACAACATCTTGCTGTAACCTCCTGTTTATCCTTCAGTGACATGAGTGAACATGTTTTGGGGGAGTGAATCCTCAGCAAGGGTTGTCAGAAACTTGAGCATTTGCTCCTTATTAGCCATAGCCAATGGGATGAGTAAAGAAAACCATTTGAAATCATGAAGGGTTTACTCCCTAGGGAACTCACTGGATCTGGGGAGCCAGTTATTCTTGTTTTTTTGTTCCCTTACCTTGTCTGGATCAAAATAAAGAATAGTATGGGTGGTTCCATTGTTTGTCACAGGGAAAAGGAGAGCTGGCGTCAATATCTCTATTTTCCATTTGTATTTTATTAGCACTTAAGATTCATTGAAATCATCTTGTGAGTGTATTTATTAACATGCTATCTATCCATCAGCCCCCAAGAAGAGAGCAGAGACCTTGTCTGTCTTAATCACCTTTGAACTCCTGGTGCTAGAACAACGTGTAACACATAAAGAGCCACTCAACACATCTTCATTGCTGGATAAATAAAATCTCTCTGTTCTCCCTGCTGTGGTCCACCTTGAAGACTGCTTCAGTCCATTGGGCATGGGTTGTAAGACCACCCAAACCATGGTACCAAGTTGAATTTTAAGTCAGGGTCGGGGGAGGGGTTCTGGATTTGGAGGAGAGACAGGGTGGAGTTATGGGAAAAGATGTTGATTTTGCAAAAAGTCTGGGTTCAAATCTTGGCTCTGCCACTGACTTGTTTTTGGGAACTCTCTGAGGCATAATTTTTAAAATCTGTACAGGAAGAATAATAATTACTCCTACCCCCCCAACATACACTTTATAATCCTTGGTTGAAGAATATATGAAAAATGTGTTTTAAACTATAAAGTGCTCTGCAAATGTGGAGGAGTGCAAAATGATGGTCTTTCTCTTCTTCTTTTTGCTTCATATAAAGCCAGGTGCCCTGGCCTGCCCCTAGCAGCTCTGCTAGAATTAGGATTTCCTGTGGCTGGCTGCCCTCTTCACAGTGCTACTTTCTCAGAGTGAACTGAGGAACGCATCTTCTAGGATTTCCGTTGCTGCAATTCCATGATAACAATGGGGGCAGGGGGACCAGGACCTAAGAAAGTGCCCCCAACTTCTCAGGCCTGGTCCCACCCCATGCCACTGGTGAGCACATTGTCACCATGAGCTGTACCATCAAGGGCCGCTTGACAATGTTTCTCTTCTCCCTTCTCCCCAGGCGGCTGTTGAAGAGTGAACTTGGATCATTCATTACAGACTATTTTCAGGTAAGCTGTGTGGATATGAGCATCCGTCATTATCATGTATGTGGGGGCATGGACCTAAAGGGGGTGGCCAATACTGTACAATTGGACATTCTTTCAACAGCCAAAATTACATATCCCTAGTCCCTGCTGTGTGCTGTGCGTTGCAGAGGGGCACCAGGCCTGAGTGTCCCGGCAGTTAATGGAGATCCCAGTCCCATGCAGCAGTTCGCAGGCATTTTGGTCTCAGGACCCCTTTACACTCATAAAATATTTTGATCCTTGTCTGGATCAAAATAAAGAATAGTATGTATGGTTCCATTATTTGTCTTATGTCTGTCTTTACCATAATAGAAATTAAACCTGAAGAGCTTTAAAATATATCTTAATTTATTTAAGTAATAAGCCTATTACATACTAGTGCTAATTACATTTTTATGAAAAATAACTCTCAGAATAAAATAGTAAGGAGATGTCTGCATTGTCTGGCTTCATAGAAGACAGTTGGATTCTTATACCTGCTTCACTTTCAATTTGTAATGATATTGCATGTCATGTAGTTTTGGGAAAACTCCACTGTAAACACGTGAATAATGCAAGGGAAAAAAACAGATAGCTTAGTATTACCGAGAAAATAGTTTTGACCGTGGGGATCCCCTAGGGGACCCTGAATCATACTACATCTGGATCCACTGTCTGGATCAGTCAGACTTCTCCCCTGTCTGTAAAGCTAGTGTAAAACTAGTGAGTTTAAGGTTCCAGGACCAATCAGAGGATAGTTTCTCATTCACAGACACAAGCTGTTTTCATGACTCTATCCAAAGTCATATGGTAGAGAGGGAATGGGGAGTGTTGGGTGACAAGGAGTAACTGACTGGACAGCACTTTAGTGAAGTCATAATCCCCACTTCTCATTCATTTGCTGAGTGGGCAAGCTGTTTCACCTCCCTGTGCCTCGGTTTCCTCATCTGTAAAATGCGACTAAACATACAACTTTTCTTAAAAGGTTATTATATGCTTTATGTGAAATAACACATGTAAAGCACTCTGTACATAGTGTGTAGGGGAGCAGTGTAAGGTAGTGGTCAAGATCACAGCCTTTAGAGGCAGAGTGCTTGGGTTTGGTGCCCAGCATAGCCACTTACTAGCTGTGTGACCTTGAGCAAGTTGCTTTACCTCTCTGTATTTCCTTTTCTGTGAAACAACAGTAATAGGACCAAACCTTATAGAGTTGTCATGAAGACTAAATAAGTTATTTATAAAAAGTGCTCAGTGACTAGCAGAGAGAGTAAGACAGTAATAAGTGCTTACTAAATTTATATAAGTGCCTATGTGTTATTCTAAGGTGTAATCCATCTCTTTTAATGGAAAAGTAGCATACAATGCATAACATCTTGGTTTCAGGTTAACAATATTATTCTGTATCCAAATAGAGCATACTTTTAAGACAGTTTAAAGAGATTTTAGGTTTTGAAAACAGTACGGGCATCCTTTTATAATTTTTCTTTATGAGATTCAGGAAGCTTAAACTTTTACATGCACTTTAAAAGAATGACATGTCAGTTGTTTAAAAAAACACACACACACACACACACACACACACACACACACACACGCACACGCGGACAGCTCCTCTAAATCTGGACAAACCGAGACCCAACAGAAGCCTGGAATTCAATCCGGTCATATGTCTCAGCTGCTTGGAAGACAGCTCCTGTTCAGGGAGAGACAAACATAAAGATTAAGAGAGAGATAATTAGTCACAAATGTGAATCATTTCAGTTGCCCTTGACTCAAAGGTCAGTCTTGGCCTCACTCTCTTCTCTTGCTGTCTCTACTGATTGATTTTTTAAAATTCTAACTACAGAGAAGTGGTTTTTCAGTCAGTCCTGGAGAAACCTGCTGAGTTGAATTGCCGTCCTCCTTGACATTTAAAAGCTCCATGGTTTGCTGTGGTTTCAATCAGGTTTTAAATGTCGTTTGTCTTTTGGCGCTGGGGGTTACCCCTAGGGCGGATAGGAAAGGGTGTTTGGGTGGGGACTTGTTTATCTGGGAAGCCCTGAGGTTTTTGGGGGCGGTTAATACTGCTTACAAAGCATGCCAGATGCTTAAAAACTAATAACCACTTGTCATTTCCTATCGGGAACCTAATCAGAGAAGCTGCTATGGGAATAGAGTCTCTTGCCAGGGGTGGGGGCGAGGACTGGTTTTCACAGTTTTAAATCGAAGTTTATTTAAGGTGCTGATCTGGAAACAAGGCTCTCCTAGATATAGTTGTTGTTGTTGTTGTTGTTTTAATAGATTTTAAGTGTCATGTGGGCACACAGCTTTTTTCTTTCTTTCTTTCCTTCCTTCCTTCCTTCCTTTCCTTCTTTCCTTCTTTCCTTCTTTCCTTTCCTTCTTTCCTTCCTTCCTTCCTTCCTTCTTCCTTTCTTTCTTTCTTCCTTTCTTTCCCTCTTTCCGTCTTTCCGTCTGTCTGTCTGTCTGTCTGTCTGTCTTTCTTGTCTGTCTGTCTGTCTTTTGGTTCTCCACTCCCTGCAAAGTTCCTAGAAGATAGTAGATACTCAGTAAACCTTCTTGGGAGAGAGGGAGGGATTTTCTGCCACAGATCACTGAAATGATTTTAGGTGATGCGTGCAATGACATTAAATAACATTAGGCCTTGTGGTTAGAAACTGCTCTCCTCTTTTATTCTCCTTTCACCCTTGGGATTGTGCTAGAGAGGATCTTGAGTTGCACCATGGTGTCCTCTCCCCTCCTTCAGGACTTCATAATCTCTCTTGTTTGAATAAGGAGGAGAAGTCCTCGAACTTAGTGTCTTCAGCTAGGGACACTGACTAGTTAGGATTTCTTAACATTATTTTGTTGGCATTGAGTTGATCGTTGAGTTCCATTTCACTTAGTGTAAATGATATTGCTATGGTTTCGGTTTTAAACCTATTTATGTGTTTAAAAAGTGGATTGATATAAGAAAAATAGTATGCAAAGAATAATCACGTACGTGGCCCTGGCTCTGGCCCTAGTCATGCAGGTGGTTCAAGAGAGACTCAGATTTGGAAAGCCCATTACCAGGTATTGCTTAAAAATGGGCTGGTTTCAAACCATTCACTTTACAGAAGAAATCTCCATATAAGGAGGCACGTCCCAGAGGGAAGGCTTGTAGAGGCGAGCTTAGCCTTCACATTCGACTGTCAGATGTCGTTTCAGAAGGGAAAATCAGGAGGAATGCCAGAAAGTGTGTTCCTCCAGTAAAGGGGCAGAAGGAAGGCCTGAGGACAGATGAGGAATGGAATCCAGGAGTGGACAGGAAAGTCACCAAAACCATGGCTCTGGCTGTTGGGAAAGGTGAAAGATGAGCTTCCTGGGTGCTGGGCTCTGCACTGCAGAGGCTCGGATGGCCATGCCCAGGCATCTGCATTCAGCAGTCAAGTCTGTCTCCTCACCCTGACCCCCACCTCCGAGCTTGCCACTCGTACAGCCCTTTCTGTGGCTCTGCTTTTGAAAGCGAACATTCTTATTTTACATTCTGTGAGTCTTAACACATTTCCCACTTTCCTGAGTGGGAAATAATGAAAATGACCCCGGGTGAGGCCAAGAGAAATCATGTAGGAAAACTGTGCTTATCTCATGTCTGCACACAGAGAAGACAAGCTGTGTGATCTGTGGAAGCCCTGAGAGACGTCCATAAGGCACTGGCCGGAAAAGTCTCTGACATTTCCAGTATTGATTTTTTTCCTTTCCCTCTGTTTTGAATTGTGCCCGGAAGGAAAATTGGGGTTTCCGAGAGAAATGCTATATACTGATGACAGCTCTGAGGGATAATTGGTTTCTTGTAATTTTTGAAACTGATGATATGAAACGTTCTGGATTTTCCTATTTACCTAATTAGGTATCTTGGTGGTTCAGAGCATGGGCGTGTTTGCAGATTGCACTTTCTGCCATTCTGTATTTACTGGCTTTGTTGTGTATATTATAAGCTTCTCCCCCAAGCCCAGAAAGTTCAATTCCTTTTGTTGGAACTGGTGTTTTACTTGATAACAGAAACTCAGGCTAGAGTCGGTGGCTTTGAATGGGTTAATACTAGGCAGAGAGGAAACTTAGCTACCACAGTTGTCAGTAGGTCATGGATACGTGGTAATGTTTGAGATGCATTTGTGTGTGCGCATGTATGCATGTATATTTATTTTTCCATTTGCTGCTAATATCTGCAAGAGTGCCAGGAGGTCAGTTTTCCCTAGAGTTTACAGCATATGGCAGAGAGCTGAAGGAGTGTAGCATTAACTGAAGACCTGAATGGATGGCAAAGACTTTAAATCAGGCCCAGAAAAAGCAATTATACTTTGTGGGAACAAAGATAGGACTTCTGAGGATTCTTGGCAAGCTGGATGGAGAGAAGATCAAGAGTGGTGAAGGTAACTTTTGTGATTTCTAAATCCAAACTGAGGAGGAGACAGAAGTTTCAGCTGTTCTTTGATCAGCTGGACAGGCTTCTCTAACAAGCAGGACTCCCAAAATGGGAAAAGAGCTAATTGGGTGAACAGAGAGTAGTAAAAGGAATTCCACATACACCCTTCTTTCAAGGTAAAATTGAGGCCTATCCACACAGGGGGGCTTTGAACAAGTGGAACGGGGATCTGGTGAGAAGACAGAGGAGAAGTTATGTTTTTAGGTGAGAGGTCATTAGAGGTTGCATTTTTTTTTTTATTTGGCCAGTACTTAGAGAAGAACAGCATTGTGGAATCTGTAAGCTTTGGGGTGGCCTAGAAGCTCCCATTGGCCACCGTGAGGGGTGAGAATGAGGTGGAGCCAGACTGGGGGCTTTGAGAAGCATCCCTGGGTGTCTTGGGCTACTCACTGTGGAGCTCGCTGCCTGCCAGAGGTCACTTTTCAGCAGCTTTGCTGTTTTTAATCTCCTTAGCAATTATTTGAATTTTGTGCAATTAGTTGAGTATTTTGATTGTACTTTATCATACTTTATGAGTTTATGCGGAAAAAATGGATCTTGAAATTGATGACCATAGGTC